TGATTCCCTATCCTGGATTTCCTTTTAAGTGTCGGACCACCCGTAGAGCTGCATCCCAATGTTCTTGTCATGGTTGTTGCATAAATTGAGCCAATATATGCACAGAATAACAAATCTCAGGCCGTGTTATAGTAAGATAAATTAATCTCCCTACCAAACGTCTATATTTTTCTGGGTCATCCAAGAACTTCCCGTCGGCTAGTGCGAGTCAATGATTTTGTTCCATGGGCAGATGGGCCGGTTTAGCCCCCAGCAGTCCTGTTTCAAAAATAATACTTAATGCATATTTTCGTTGGCAGAGATAGATGCCCTCATCTCCTCTGGCGACTTCGATGCCAAGAAAATACTTTAGTGTTCCATGATCCTTCATGTGAAAACACCGACTCAGATATTGTTTGAATTGATGTATCATCTCCCCATTGTTTCCTCTCATGACAAGATCATCCACATACACCAAAATACATAGTGTAGCTCCATTTTTATGGTAAGTGAATAAAGAATAGTCTAAATGTGATTGAGTAAAACCATACGTCTTTAACGCCGTACCTAATTTGGCAAACCAGTTGTTGGGTGCCTGTCGCAATCCGTACAGAGATTTGCGCATACGACATACTTTCCCTGAATGTGTAGATGAAAAACCGGGCGGCAATCGCATATACACCTCTTCCGCCAGGTCACCATGCAAAAAGGCATTATGCACGTCCATCTGATGAAGCTCCCACTTTCGTGTCACTGCTACAACCAAGAACAACCGAACAGTCACCATCTTTGCCACTGGTGCGAAAGTCTCATTATAGTCTATCCCGACCTTCTGGTTGTTCCCTAAAATCACCAATCTTGCCTTGTGTCTTTCAATCGTTCCATCTGAATTATACTTGGTCTTATATACCCATTTGCACCCGATGGCTTGCTTCCCGGGGGGGCAACGGTTCAAGGGTCTAGGTCCCATTGCGCTCGAGAGCTTCAATTTCTTCTTTCATGGCTTGTCTCCAATGTGACTCATGGATTGTTTCTAAAAAATATGTGGGATCTTTCCCTGCAGTTATAGCTGCCAAAAACTGTCTATGTCTCAAAGAAAAGTTAGTACAAGTCACGTAACATGTAATAGGATAGGACGCACCTGAGGAGTGGTATGATGTGGCATGATCCACGAGGGGGTCGTTAATGTGTTGCGCTGTGTGGCATATATAGTCCTTCAGCTTCTCAAGAGGACGCCTTTCCCTACATCCTCGCCCAAGGTTTTCTCCTTCACTGTTGCTTTCCAAGTTCACGTTGCCCTCTCTCTGTTCATTAAGATCTTCACCACTCCCCCTTGCTTCCGGAGTCACATCTTCTTCAGGAGTTGATTCATCATTCGAATTTTCTGCACTACTCACCTCATGGTCATCAAAGAATTGTGCATCATTATTACAGACAGACGGTTGCTCGGCCACACCGGGGTTAAGGGATTCAGAAACAGTAGCTTTATAAGGAAATATATGTTCAGAAAATACAACATCACGAGATACAAAGAACTCATTCGTATCTAAGTCATAGAGTCTCCATCCTTTCTTACCGAAAGGGTACCCAACAAATATGCACCTTCGACTTCGAGAACCAAACTTGTCTTTGTCACGCCCTTGATAATGAGCACGACATAAACACCCCAAAACACGAATATGTTTGTAAGTTGGTTCCTTCCCAAACAGCAATTCACATGGACTCTTCCCATCAAGTAAAGAACTTGGAGTACGGTTAATTAGGTACCCGACAATCAACACACATTCACCCCAAAAACTCACCGGTAAGTTTGCCTGAAAATGCAAAGCACGTGCAACATTCAAAATGTGTCGATGCTTGCGTTCCACCCTGCCGTTTTGCTGAGGTGTCCCTACACAAGATGTTTGTTGAATGATGCCATGAATATTACAGTAATTACTCAAGGCTACAAATTCCGACCCATTATCACTTCTTATCACCTTAACCTTACTGTCGAATTGGGTCATTATCATGGCACAAAATTTCACAATATTAGCACCAACTTCACTCTTTTCTGTCATTAAATAAATCCACACTACCTGTGAATAATCATCAACGATAGTCAGGAAATATATAGCACCACATGAAGTAGGAGTGCGATATGGTCCCCAAACATCACAGTGAATTAAGGCAAAAGGTGCAGAAGCTTTATTAGAATTTAGAGGAAACACATCACGAGTTTGTTTAGCTCTTAAACAAATATCACACAACTCACTGGATGTTTCTTGACTAGCAAGTTTATTTTTAATAGTAAGAAGTAAACTAACAACTTGTTTTGAGGGATGTCCCATTCGCTTGTGCCACAGTTCATATGAGTCCACCTTTTCTAACCTGCATGCACTTGTCCTTGCCACACAGCGCCAAAGATAGACCCCATCACGCTTCTCACCCACACCAATCACTATCCTCGAAGTGGGGTCCTGCATTAGACATAAATTGTCAGAAAACGTGACTGTATATTTTAATTCATCAATAAATTGAGACACAGATATCAAATTGCAATTCAAGTTGGGAACATATAAAACATATTTTAAGTTCAATCCTTTCCCAAGCTGTACTTCTCTTTCTTGCAATGCCATCATATTCTTTCCATCAGGGAGTCCAACGACGCACGGAGCGATTTCATGCACATTCTTCAAAAGCTCCAAATTCCCGATCATATTATGAGAACACCTTGAATCAATCAACCACATTTTCTTACCCGTCAATTTTTCTGAAGTGGATTCCTTGTGTGAATTGATCATCGCCATTAATGTTGGCCATTGTTCATCATTAAGTCCGGGAAAGCCAACTTTATCGCTGGTCCGTACAGCCGCAGCAGTGGTGCTAGTGCCGCAGTTTCCTGGTGTCTAGACAGCATTGGCCGCCGCTGAACCAAATCCTCCTCGACCTCTTCCGGTTCCCATGCCTCGACCTCCTCGTCCTCCATGACCACCAGAGCGACCTCCTTTGCCTGCAAACCACCAATCTGGGTAGCCTACAAGCTGGAAGCATTCGAGTACCTCATGTCTAGTTTTCCCACAGTGAGAGCACGTCTTCTCATCCTTGTTCTGAGATTTGGTCTATTTCCAGTTTGCATAGCAAATCCTACAACCTCTGCTCGTTCTTCACGTGCTCGAGCCACCGTTTTGTGTCGTTCTTCTTGCACAATTATTGCATATATTCAGTTTAAAGAAGGTAAAGGTTCTGTACTCAAAATGTTCGATCTAACAGTACCATAAACTGCACTGTCAAGACCCATGAGGATTTGATGAATTTTCTCCTTTTCCCGCTCCAACGTCAGATCGGTCGCCGCTCCACCACACGTGCATTGTGGGTTCTTCACATACCCAGCCAACTCCTCCCACATGGTCTTCATCTTCCCATAATATGCGGATATAGTCATACCTTCCTGTTTGCAATTGGCCAAGTCGCTCTTCAATTGGTGAATCTGCAGATCATTCCCGATGGCGAACCATTCCCGAAGATCTTCCCACAGTTCCTTTGCTGTCTCCATATAGGAGATCATAGACCGGAGCCCTAGTTCTATGGTATTGAATATCCATGCTACCAACATGGAATTCACACTATACCAATCTTCCAATTCGCCGGCATCATCACTAGGTTTCGTCACATTTCCTTCAAGGAAAGCTAATTTCTTCTTTGCTTGGAACGCGTTTTTCACAGCTTTTGCCCATTCATCATAGTTATCCCCTTTCAAGACGATAGGGGTCACGACCAAGCCGGGGTTGTCTTGCGAACCAAGGTAATAAGGAGATTTCGAATCAGCCATAGTGTAAGTATGGCTCTGATACCATAAAGAATTGTATGGATTGAAATTCAAAGAAATGGCTATTCTGTCTTATCTTTCAATGGAGTCAATCGCCCCATATATATACAATTACATCATGATCAAATTAGCAACTCTAGAAATTAGCAACTTCCTAAAACCATACATTCCTAAAACTCTATCCACAATATTAGCAACTTACTAAATACAATATTAGCAACTTCCTAAATAATATCTTTCTAAATATATACAGTATATAATGTCTCCATTATTGCATTTCCCTTGTTCTATGGGAAGTCGGATTTAGTGACATGTTCTCACCATCCTTTTCAGCCGTGTATTGAGAACATCTCCCCTAAATAAAATGATACAATTTACAAGAATAAAGATATTACCAATGTACGGCTGAAAAGGGCTATGAAAACAGTAGAGCAAAAATTTGTGAGAACCAAATCTTCTCTCGTTCAATGGTATTTTAGCAAAATACGATTATGACTGTTTATCAAAATACAATGACTGTTTATTAGGCTGTAAAACCAATGATAAAGTTTCACGCCAGTAATAAATTTCTGCAAATCGGATCTTCTAACTCTTGCAACTACTGGGAGGGGGGGTGGTATTCATCCTAGTCTGATGATCAACATCCAACCTTGACCAAATCAGTATATACTTCCTGTTTTGCAAATTATTTAAAAGAAATATTCTTAGATTTCTACAAAATACGTCTCCTTGATTGTGAAATGTTTTTGTTTTAAACTGAAATCTTTGAATTTCTTGATTTCAGCCCAATAAAAGTCCAAGATGGGTCCTACTGAATTTAGAAGCTTTTACCTACATAAGAAAAAAAATAACCCATACACACGTACCCCCACTTAAATTTTTGGCCTCAGTTCTATGGAACGTGGATGAAATCATCAGTTACATTCGTAGGTGCCAACTAGCTCACTTGGTGAGGTGTCTCGCTGATTGTAGAGGAGACTTGGATCAATATCATAAAATTATATCATATATTATATGTTATTATAAATAAAATATTTATTTGTTTTTATAAAATTTAATTAATGACTTGGGCCCAAATCTGGTTCCAGGTTATAGCCCTTATCATCGGTGCTAAGCCCAGTCCGGCCCATGATAGACATGTCTCACCTGGGGTTCATATCGCCAGATCTAGACCTCAATTTGAAGTAACCAATCACAAACATTTGTATCATTCTCTAATTTTTTTTTTTTTTTATGAGAAACGGTAACTTTCATTAAAAATAATGGATAAAGATTACAACTGCCACCGTCCAAGGGCCGGATGGGGGACCCTTTGATAAAAATGCCTCAAAAACAGGCCCAAAACAACTCCTGCCTATTGACTCCTGCTTTAGATAAAGCATCAGCTATTCCATTAAAACTGTTCGTCTAAAATTTATTATTTTGATACACCAGAATTCCAAATAACCTATATACTAGAACATTTCTATTTTCACAGTTTAGACGGCAGCATGGCTTTAATGCTTGACATAGTGTCGTAGTTTCCTCCAGTTGGCTGCTGCAGCTTGTGCAATTTTGCTTTGGCTCTAAACAGGATCTTGTGTACTTCGTCAAAATGAGGTCTGGTTGCATTTCTGGTATCCTCGATCCACTGCACAATCTTCTTGTGTGGGTACAATATTCGATCGAGATCCTTCTCATCCAAGAGCTGAAACAAGTGAAGGAGTATACTAAGACATCAGATTCCATTACAGCCTCATAGTTTCATCACTAAATATAACAAAACCATTCAAAATTTCATCCTTCTTTGTCTAAAATTAGGTCTTTAATTAAGATCAAAAATACTAAAAAGAGCGTTTGCACAAGACAAAAAAAGAAATAAAACCAGGAACAACCCACCACCACTAAGAACATTTCCATTATACGCATCAAAGTATACTACTAAACGCATATACCATTATGTTAACTACAACATGCGTTTTATATATGGAATGGATGGCAGTTTTCAATTTCTTCACCTCCCGTCTATAAAACTTTAGCCAAACCTTTTTGGTTCACTGAAGGATGATGAACATATTGTGTGATTCAGATAAATGCATCACATGAATAGGGGCCCAACGCATAATTTTTGCATCATATGTTGTCATAACATAATTATAGTGAGAGAAGACCATTGTAAAGCCAGCACGCATTACCATTGGAATGAAATTTCCATTTTATTGGTCAAAAGAGGTCTTTCCTACATTTTGCTTGCAGGGAACATGTGTATGCTACCATCCCATCGATTGGATGAGTTGAATCATAGTGGTACAATTAATACTTCAATAAAAACTTTCAAAGTAGGAAAAAACAGGAATCTTGTAAAATTAAAAAAAAAAATCTTGTAATATGTATAAATCAGCAATAAAGTAAAATGTGCCATTGACAACCTAGGTATATATCACATAATTATATTTGTGAAAGGAAATTTGGATTACAGATGAAGCATGGAAATTTCCAGAAGACATCCAGATACTAAGGCTCTCTTTTGTTACCTCCAGCTGCATAATTTCACAGACAAGGCTCAGATCTGCTATTGAAGGTTGAGAGCTTCCTAATAAAAACTTCCCATTTCCTTTGAGCCATATAGACTCAATCTTTGATAGAGATGAAGTCAAAATTTTCTCAGCTTCAGCAGTCACTTTTGGATTCGATTTAAGACCAAGTGCAGGTCCAAGCACAGTATTTAGAACAAAGGGAGCTGCAACAAGAGAAGAGCACTAAGAAAGCTGTAGCTCACAACTACGTAACCCACAAAGAAAGGAGAAAGCAAGTGCATAGGTATTGCCAGAGTTCAAACTTCAGAGTTGGGTCTTAAACAGACAGTGAGTAATTACAATGGTAACACTAATAATTGCAAAATGTCTTAGAAAAAACTTTTAAATTAGAAATTGCCACTTATAAGTTCATTTGTTTCCAACTGCCCCATACTTCCATAAAATAATAGGGGAAGTTTTCCTGCAAGTACAAAGGAAAGTCTTCCATACACAATCATTTACATGTCTAAAAAATGTGCAGAAAGTATCAAACTGGCCCACAAATTACAAAGTGTGCTGAAAAAAATGCAGTTTCACAGATAGAAGTTGAAGTGTGCTAAAGGTAGTTTGAAGTTTGAGTATTAAGGCATAAGCATAAGAATTAGTTTCCTTTTTCTGGTTCTTTTTAGGGTCGGGTGCTCTAACTGAGATCGTATAATACCACAGAGCAAACTAACCTAATACCATGCAACAAGACAGGAGATTAGCTCTAGTGAGTTGCCAAAGCCAATAGGACCAGTACCAGAGCACGACTACAACCATTATGTCCTCTAGTATCTAAAAGACCCATCAACCAGAATTCCTCAGGTTTCAAGGCTGCACCAATCAAAATTGAACTTGAAGTTACCAATTGGTGGAGGGGTCCAATCAATAATGTTATCTTCCGAAAATATAGAGAAATCATTGAAGATCCACATCCAATGTGCCATATGAATAGTAATGAGCTCAATCAATTCCTCTGAAGCCTGTCTTTTATCAGAGAAGATTGTAGCAGTCCTCTGTCCATAGAATAGAGCCTCTTATGCATCTTTAAATAATCTTTCTCCTATTTCTTATTGGGGAAAACATTCCACGAAAAAAGTATCAATCTCCTTGTCAATCTTTCCCTTCTCAAGACTTATTTGTTTATTTATATTGGTAAGTCCTACTAACCATCAACTAAATTATTTGAACTCCTAATTAAGAATTTATAATGGACCTAAAGTTTGACTTTCAGAAGGTATTTTTAGACTTTTAACATGTAACTTTTTTCAATGTAGATTTCTAATATTAAAAGTGCTTAGGATATGCCAATAAGGAAGTGTCTGTAAGGAAAAAAATAGCTGTCAAAGAAAATCAGAAAATCGAATAAAGAAACTGTTCCGTCAGATTCTCTCTAAGGTGCAATTCCAACAGCAGGAGACAGATTTTAGATGAGACTTCTTGCTTTCATGAATTTGCCAACCACCAAAACCAATAAAATTTTAAATATTGTTAATTTACATTTCTTTGTACTACTGCTTGGAATATTGACGTTATTCCTACATTACTACTGATACTACACTGCAAAATCTTATTCCATACCAATATTCTAATATGTCTACTTTTATTCATTGGAAACCACTACAATGCAGAATACTAATTCTAAAGTTCAAAGAAGACTTATTAAGTTCATCAGAAATCGTCACAGCTCAATTAAAAATGAAAGATATATATGTGCTTGAGTTACCAATGACATAGATAAACCTTTAGATTGTCCCAGTAAGGCCATTATTCATGAGTTCAATCCAAGCCTAACTCATCACACAAAAAGGGCTAACTAAAGCAAAGTGATATAGTCAGTCCCCCTACTCACCCAATTTAATTGTCCGATTTTCAGTTATAGAACTTCTTGTTGAATAGACTCAACCTTTTTCAAGCAAGGAGAAGCAAAAAATGGGTTGAAGCTTGAACCTTGAGGTTTGAATGTACAGTACCTGCACCACGACGCAAATTGGAATGATGCCAATCCAAGACTGAATTGATCTTAGCTCTCCTAAAAAGATCAGTTGGGTACCTTACCAAAAAAGTGAAACACAAACACATGCATAAGTTGGGGTTTTCTTTGATAAGTAATTACTTAGGCTGCAATTGGAACCAATGTAAAACGTCATCGGTGTAAATATTTACGCCGGTTTGATTTTGTTGGCGTTTGGAAGGAGTGTACAATCATGATCGACATAAAACTCCACTCCGGTTCAGTTTTGCGTATGTTTGGATGGAGTGGAGTTTACGTCGTAAATCAATGTAAAAGTTCATTAAAGCAGAGTTTTACATCGATTGTCGGTGTAAATATTACATCAATAAAATCGATGTAAAACTCTGCTTTTCCCATGCACACTTTTCAAAATTAAAATGGTTACTTTTTAATGGTTCAATGTAAAACGTCATCGGTATACTTTTACACCGATGACATTTTACATCAGTCCCAAACACAGCTTTAGGAGTATTTAATTGACAAACCCTAGAGTAAGTATACCTTAGTAATACACAAAACAAAAATATCTGAAATTCTTTCTGATCTAGATATAAAATTTTGAAGAGAAAGATGCATTCAACTTACCAATGATCTGCAACTCCTGGGAATGCACAAGCAAGGTAACTCAGAATTGCATGACTGCAAAAATAAATTTGGAAAGAAAGTCCAGCTGATTTAACATGTATAGTAGTACAACATAAACCAGGTGAGAAAAAAGAAGATGCAAAGTGAAAACATTAACAAATAGCTTTGTATTGCTCCAGTCTTGAGGGAACGTACAAAGCTACAAAATTATATTAATAAAATGAAACTCTGATTAATTAAGCTAAGAGGTTTTCTGAGACATTTTATTTCTTTCAGAATTTATATTTACGTTCTCTTACAGTATTAAGTTTTTCTTCTTTTCTTTTCTCCAAAATGAGGTGCCTCACTAGTCACTTGATTCAGGCATGCATGTCCCTTTGTTCATAAGTTGTACTTCTTTCTTTTAAAACACTGAAACATAGGAAGACATCAAGAAACCGAGTATATATCGATTTATCCATTTTTCTTATAATAGATAATCTTTTCCATATTTTATAATTACCTTTCATACAATTTTAATAATATTAATCATCAATGGTTGATGCAGAAAACTTGTAAGATGTATCAAGTAAGCTATAAAGGGAAAATGAACCCTCGAGCCTTTTTGTTGGGAGGTGGCTCACAGGAAAATGATACGTGGAATCTGTTTCAGAGAAATGAAACATGCTGTATATCTCTCCCTAAACTTGCATTTTATGCCTTGAGGAAGGTTTAATTAATTTAATCAACTGTGTCCAAGGCAAGCTTAGTGGATGTTTCTTCTCTCTCATTAGTATTGACTTCTTCCTTGGGACAATCAATAATTCCTTTGGATCTGGAACTGGTCTCCCTCCGGCATTTAGAAAGGGAAATACCAATATTACATGCATGCAGAGTTCTTTATGTGATTAGCACCGTATACCAAAAGCTTAACTGGATTTCGTGGGGATTAATACATCTTGTAAAGAGACTGGGCCGAATGGACCCTAACAGCTGCTTGTGTGATATCCTTTATTTTTATCTTTTATTTTATGTTGATGGGCCTCACTTAATGGGCCTGTTATTTGTTCTTGTTTTATTTTCTTTATGTAATTGCCAAGTTGGCCGTCCACTTAAGGGCATACTTGTCATCATTAATTTTTGGAGATTAATAAAATAGGGTTAGAGGAGAAGGGTGAATTATTCGACTTCTTCTTCTCTTACCTCTTCTCTTCAACATACACAGCTCTTGCACTATTATTCAGATCTGATTTGCACTGTTAATTACTGATTTTAAACCTGATATTAGAAGACTGATTCACATCTCATCTAAATACAACACAAGGGTCATGTTACACGAACATTTCACATTTGTATGAATAGCAATGAATCACTAAGAACATATAAACAAGTCCAGAAAAGTTCCCTTCCTCCCCCCTTTCTTGTTAAAATCTAGCATAACCTCTATCAACTGAAAAGCAGTTACAAATAGGAAAGAAGCTCATTAGTTCCATATTTGTAATAAGATGATAACAGTATCTTATTCAAAACTTAAAGTTGATGACATGGTACAGTTTCAAAAGCAGCAAGAGTTATGCATGCATAGATAACCCTACCCAGAAACTACTTGGTATCTATGTTCATTTATGAAAATCACAGAACACTGGAATACCTCTCAAATAGCTTAAATCTCCCATCAATTATGGCTGGAACTTGTCTCATAGGATTGATTTCTGAAAGTTTAACATGGAGACTGTTACTATAATAAAAAGGGTCACATATAATCGGCACTTGCATATATTTTCAATAAAGATGAGTCTGTCATGAGTTTGCCATAGTTACAATACACGTTTTCTGGTGAACTTTACTTTAATGAAATGTGAATTCTGCAAAATTTAATACAATTGAAATAACACCAAAGCAATAGCAAATCCTATTCATCAACTTGTCTTAAGTTGACAATACAAGAAATCTCCATTTTATGAAATTTCTCAGTTTAATGTTAAGCATAGCCTTCATTTATAGAATTCTAAGAGAAACGCCCGTGTCCCTTCAAATTCATAATGGATAGATGCTTCCATTTTTCTGTATATCATCATATTTTCACATATTATAAAATTCTCGAAAACAGAGCATTTGTGTGCAATTATTTATAGCATAATCAACAAAGCGAGTAGTATGTGTTAAAAATTCCCATGCTTTTTGAAGTTCTAAGCTCAAGCCAACCATAAATTATACTCGGAGTTCTAATGTTCTATGTGTTTGTGCACCCTTGGAATCGTTGGAATTTTATATAAATATGTGATGTTTATATCAAACTTAATATAAAGCAATATATAAAAACAAAAATAAGGTGAACGTATCAAGATAACTGCAAAAAAAAAAAATAAAGATACCTATACTAATCGAATTTTATAGGGATGAGGCTAGTCAGCTAAGCTAGGTTTCTATTCAATTGCTAAGTCCCAGCTAAGATTTCACAAATACAAGCAGCCCCCAGATTCATGGCTAACAAGCTTGACGAGCTTTTAAGACAAGACATACTGACAAGTATGCAAAGCGTATATTCAATCAGAGCTTTCTTTAAATATCAGAAAGCAATCTGAGTTTCTAAATCAGTGTCCTACTGTCCTCGTAAATACACAAATGCAGTGTTCAGACATCATTTAAAAATGCAGGAATTATATAAGATAAGAGCCAACAAAAAACTCGTAACTGTATATATGTACCTTTAAATTCAGGAGAGATATGCTGACGTTTCGATAGGTCTACTTTGATCTCCTCAAATTCGATTCCGTTTACCCTAATTCACCAACCAATTTGCATAACTGTAAAATTACACCGCACATAAATTAAAAAATTTAAGCCCGAAAAATAGGGCCGGGGAATTACTTGCAGAAGATTATAACCGCACGAGAAGGCTGGGACATCCGATCGGCATAAACCTTCAGCATCGTTTTTCCTTCTCTTTACTCTTCTCTCTGTCTCAGTTCTCAATTTGAGTCTCGAAGATTAGGCGCAACCGCACAAGTAGTCAAGTACGTCTAGTTTAACTGAGACCCACTGAAACACGAACACGCCAGCGATGGAAATAAATTCTAAACATCAACTAAACTTTTTTTTTTGGATTAAATATTTAAAGTAAGACTTTGGTTTGGTTTAGCAAATAGACAAAAATTTACCCGGCTGTCAACGGACCGGGTCTGAAGTCAGCTGTAACCGGAACCGGCCCAATATGAAAGGTTGAGGACTCGGACCTGTACCCAGACCCGATAGGGTATATAATTTTCTGGGACAATCACGGTCCGACCTGACAGACTTAATTATAATAAATAAAAAATAAACATTTATGTTTATTATATATTAAATATTCTCTCTCTATATATCATATATATATATAATTTATTTATATATTATATTATATATATTTATTTATTGGTTTGGGACTAGGTGGAATCAATTCCAAACTAATAGTAATCAAGATCCTATATCAGGCCCCGGGACCGACCTGTTGGTTCCAATTTCCAGAACAGGAACTGGCCCAATCTGTTTGGGTCCATCAGTCAGACCCGACCCATTGACATCCCTACCTATGGTTTCATGAACCCAAAATCCAAATTTTTTGGGAGACCATCATAATAGGTCTGCTACAAAAGGTATTTGAGGGGCAACTAGGTATTTGAAGCAGTGTGTTCATCATCTTCATTGGAGAAATTAAGCTTAGCCTTTTTTCCTGTGATGCGGGAGAAGATGTTGTCTTTCTATTTCCTATTTGCTCCCGGATTCGGTTGTAATTGACTAATTGCCATTGGAGTGGCTTCATCGTGATGATGACAGTGGTGGTGGTGGTGGTGATGATCATCTTGATTCCTTTTTCCCAGTCAAGCTGAGTCTATCTCCCATGAGGAATTTTATAGACTTGACGTATTTTTCAGTCAATGTTAATTTTATTTTGAAAATTTAAAGAATAATGAAAGGTTAAATCAACGATAATTTTGGAAATAAATATATATATATATATATATAAATCACATGACATCAAATGCAAAGGGCGGTTGGGAGTGTCCACATCCAAGACAAACTATATAAGTCACATCATTGCAGCGAAGACCTCTCAAGTTAATTTGGTTATTCAAGCTGAACTATTTGCTATTTTGTAGGTTTTACAAGAATTACAAAACTGGAATTTTGAGAAAATATGTATTTGTTGTGATGCTCAGCAACTGATAAGATCGTTCACGCAACAAATAGAATATCCCTGGTCATGCCAATGGTTTTTTTGAAAACCAGGAGTTATTAAGCAACCTTAAAAAAGTTTAACTTTCGTTATGTAAATAGACAGTTTAACTAATCATAATCAGCCCACACGATATCCCAACTAACTAAATCTCACTCTTCTCATCTCTTGTTAGTTTAGATTACCTAAAAGGGATACCCGAAGACTTTATTTCTCTTTCTGGTTATTAATATAGTATTTACTTTTCAAAAACAAAATTGCATGAAAAACCAGGAGGCCTTTTATATTCTTAGCCGGTTTTTTCCTCTTTTTATAGATAATTTATAATTGACTTGGATCTTGTTAGAATTGCACAGCGGAAATAATGTAATCTGTACGTGCACAGAAAGAAAATAAAAAGCAGATAGCAATAGAGAAAGAAAAAAGAAAGAGAGAACACCAGATTTATGTGGTTCGGCCAAAATGCCTACGTCCACGGACAACATCTCGAAGCTTCCTTCTTACTATAAACTGGAGAAAATACAAAGATGACATCACCAAAATCACACCCGTACCCAACACTCAATACACCCAAACACAATACTCCTCTCAACACACTGCATACACTATATACTGAAATGAAATGGAGTATGTTTTTAACTAACATTGGAGGGACCCCTATTTATACTTGAGGTTGGGGTATAATGGGTTTTTTTTTAAATTTTCTTCATAATTAAGCAAACAATAAAATGGTGTGCCACCGTTCAATATGGCGGGCTCAGCTTGGTGGGCCACCGATTGTAAATTCAGTGAGCCACCGACTGGCCCACCATTTTTTTACTTTTCAACATTCTCCCACTTGAAGACAATTTTCATAGTGAAAAAACTTATTCGAGAATAGCTGTCGATCATCTCTTGCTATGTGGCTTTAAGTCCCAGAGAAGTTCTGCACCAGATGAACTTCTCTCTCATCACCGGCTTTGTCAATATATCAGTAACGTTGTTGTTAGTGTGGATCTTCTGTAATGAGATCTGCCCATCTTCAACTACCTCACGAACAAAGTGGTATTGTACATCAATGTGTTTAGTCCGTGCATGAAATATAGGATTTCTTGCTAAGTGTAATGCGCTTTGACTATCACAATGAATAATCACCACTTCTTTCTTGATGTGGAATTCTTCAAGCAACCTCTTTAGCCAAATACTTTCTTTGCATGCTTGTATACCTGACATATATTCTGCTTCTGTATAAGGCTACTACAGATTGCAATTTTGATGCCCAGCTCACTACACCATTAGCTAAAGAAAACACATAACCAGTGGTTGATTCTCTATTATCGCGATCTCCTGCATAGACTACATCCACATAACCAACTAGTTTTAAGCTTTGGCCAGTATAACAAATAGAGATTTCAGAAGTACCCTTCAAATACCGAAGGACTCTCTTCACCGCAGTCCAATGATCTCTTCTTGGATTTGCCATAAACTTACTGACTGCTCCCACTGCTTGTGCAATGTCTRGTCTGGTGCACACCATGGCAAACATAAGGCTCCCTACTGCTGATGAATATGGTATGTGGGACATTTCTGTCTTCTCAGCTTCAGTGCTATGTGATTGTTCCGAAGACAACTTGCAACCAACAGAAAATGGGATACTGACTGGTTTGGAATCTTGCATGTTGAAGCGCCGCAAGACCCTTTGAACATAACTCTTTTGAGTTATCCAGACTTTCATGTTCTTTCTGTCCCTATATATCGTTATCCCAAGAATCTGATTAACCGCCCCCAGATCCTTCATGTCAAACTCCCTAGCTAAACGAGCTTTCAGTGTTGAGATACTTCCTTTATCAGTACATGCAACTAGCATGTCATCAACATATAACAACAAAATGATGAAGTGATCATTACTAAAAAGTATGTGTAGGCACAATGATCTGCTTCGCATTTGCTAAAGCCCAAGCTCACAATGAAGGAATCAAATCGCTTATACCAACACCTTGGCGCCTGTTTTAGACTGTAAAGTGGTTTGGTCAGCTGACAAACCAGATCCTTTTTGTCGTTCTCGACAAAGTCTTCAGGTTGAGTCATATAAATCTCTTATTCAAGATTACCAGGCAAGAATGCAGTTTTAACATCTAACTGCTCCAGCTCCAAGTCAAGTACTGCAGTCATACTCAATAGAATACGAATAGTACTTAATCGAACAACAGGAGAAAATATTTCGTTAAAGTCGATACCTGATCTCTGAGCATATCCTTTTACAACTAGTCGAGCTTTATATCTTTCGATATTCCCGCTAGTATCCTTTTTGAGTTTGTACACCCATCTACAACCAATGGCCTTTCGATTCTTAGGTAGTTTGACTAAGTCCCAAGTTTTATTTTTTTTCAGAGCTTCCATTTCTTCCTCCATTGCCATTTGCCAATGACGAGCATTTGGACGTCCTGAAGCTAGACAAGAGGTCTTGTAGCTCTCCTTGATCGACCTTGATCATCATGAGTCTCTCCTTCAAAATTTTCAATGTGCTCTTCAGGTACATCAACAGTTGTATCAATTTGTTGTTTTTGAATCTTTTGAAAATATTCCACTTCAACTTTCTCTGTTGTCTTAGAGCTTGATTCTTTCTGCATCGAATCTTCATTGAAGACAACATCTCGGCTAACAACTATCTTGTAGGCAGTAGGATCCCATAATCTATATCCCTTTGTACCTTCTGCATAGCCAAGAAAAATACACTTTTTGGATCTTGCTCTAGCTTGGTCCTTTGCTCCTTAGGAATCCAAATATAAGCATCACAACCAAATGTATGTAAGAAAGAATAATCAACAGGGTTTCCTAACCATACCTCTTCTGGAATTTTGCAATCAAGTGTCGTAGTGGGAGAGCGATTTACTAGGTAACATGCCGTATTGATTGCTTCTGCCCAAAAGTACTGTTCCAGCCTAGCTGCACTCAACATGCTTCTAGCTCGATCCATAAGTGTACGATTCATCCGTTCAGCAACTCCGTTTTGTTGTGGAGTTCGTGGAACCGTATACTGTCTCAGAATGCCATGCTCATTGCAAAATCCTTCAAATTCTTTTGAGGTATATTTTTTCCCATTGTCGGTTCTTAGACACTTAATTCTTTTCCCCTTTTGATTTTCAACTAGAGCTTTGAACTTCTTGAAATAAGAAAAAGTATCACTCTTCCGTTGGAGTAAATATACCCATACTTTCCTGGAGAACTCATCAATAAAAGAGACAAAGTATAATGAACCTCCAAGAGATTCCGTAGTAGCTTCCCACGTATCAGAGTGTATTAGATCTAATACCTCTCTACTCCTAGCTTTAGACTTGTGAAAACTAGCTCTATGGTGTTTCCCAAATAAACAATTTTCACAGAAATTCAAATCAGTAGATTTTAAACCAGGAAGTAGATTTTGATCAAGAAGTACCTTAAGTCCTTGCTTGTTCATATGACCCAAACGTCTGTGCCAAATCATGACAGAATCGGTCACAACATTTGCAACGATGGCATCGCCGACTATGGTATCACCGATCAAGTGGTATAGCTTCTCTTGTAATTTGCCTTTCGCAATTACCATAGCTCCTTTACTGATATTCAATTGGCCCTTTTCTCCAAAAAACTTGTAACCGTCTTCATCAAACTTTCCTAGTGACAGGAGACTCTTTCGCATTTCAGGAACATACCGTACACCGGAGATTGTACAAGTGATGCCGTCAAACATAGTAATTCTAACGTCTCCAATTCCCACTATTTTGCATGTGCTATTATCGCCCATGTAAATAGTCCCACCATTGCACGACTGGTATGTGTAGAACCAATCTCTGCATGGCGTCATATGGAAAGAAGCACCAGAATCTAATATCCAGTTATGCTTTAAATTTTCACAAGAATCAATAGACAGTACCTCACCATCTTCTGATGAATCACTTCCTTCTGCGATGTTTCCTTGGGAATTATTTGAAGCTGGATCTTTGTCAGAGTTGGGCCGATTTTGCTCTACTTTGGGTTGCCAACAATCTTTTCGAAGGTGCCCCTTCTTACCATAATTCCAACACTTGAGTCCTTTCTTGTTGCCTCTTGACTTGGATCTCGTTTGATTTTTGATAGTCACTTCTCTCATTCGATCTACCTCGTACCATCATTGCATCACCTGAAGAATTCTCACCAACTTTTCTACGAGATTCTTCCGTAAGTAACATAGAAATAGTAGATTCTAATGACAGATCTTTAGTATTGCTCAAATTTATTATCAAACTATCCCAAGAGTCTGGCATAAAACAAAGCAAAAGAGCAATCTACAGTTGCTAATTTGCTTACTAGAGTGTTGAACTCATTCAAATGTATGCAAAGAGGCTCTGTCCTTCATCCTCAGATTGTAGAGTTGTCATCGGAGAAAGATTTTGTTGGACATCGATTTCCCCTCGTAGAGATTCTGCAACTTGTCCCATAAACATTTGGCAGTGATTTCCTTGGACACGTTGAATAAAACCGAATCTTCTAAAGCAAGAAGAATATCAGCCATGGCTATCTGGTTTTTCTTCTCAAAATCTTCGTCTTTCATATCAGCAGGCTTCTTCTCTTTTCCTTCTATGGCAATTGCACAATCTTCTTTCACCAACACAGCATGCATCTTCAGCTTCCAAATTGCATAGTTGGATCCGTTGAATTTCGGTATGTCGAACCAGGTAGAGCTCGAACTCGCCATATTCAACACGTGCAATACCGGAACAGCAAATACAGATTTCGGCAGAATCCCGAAACAGAACCGTGTGGCTCAGATACCAATTGTTGGAATTGCATAGTGGAAATAATGTAATCTGTACGTGCACAGAAAGAAAATAAAAAGCAGATAGCAATAGAGAAAAAAAAAAAGAAAGAGAGAACACCAGATTTACGTGGTTCAGCCAAAATGCCTACGTCCACGGGCAACAGCTCGGAGCTTCCTTCTTACTATAAACTGGAGAAAATACAAAGATGACCTCACCGAAATTACACCCGTACCCGACACTCAATACACCCAAACACAATACTCCTCTCAACACACTGCATACACTAACATTGAAATGAAATGAAGTATGTTTTTAACTAACATAGGAGAGACCCTTATTTATACTTGAGGTTAGGGGTACAATGGTTTTTTTTTTTTAAATTTTCTTCATAATTAAGCAAACAATAAAATGGTGTGCCACCATTCAATATGACGGGCTCAGCTCGGTGGGCCACCGATTGTAAATTCGGTGAGCCACCGACTGACCCACCCTTTTTTTACTTTTCAACAGATCTAAATCGGTTTGGAACAGCAAATGGTCCCAACCCAATTATAATTGGGGCAAAACCACAGAACCAAAACTGTTGGTTGTCAGGTAGACCTGAGTCACCTGACCCATTGAAGTTTCTTGTCGGATCTGCTACCCATAAGACAATACTTGAACAGTTGAACCTATGAGTTTCCAGTTCACAAGGAATATCTCCAAGAGTGAATTCTAACAACACGATGTTTCTCTACGCCAAATCAATCTCCTAGCATCATCATCTTGAAGTTTCTTGTCGGTAAAAAGACTGGAAGTTGATTGGTGAGGTCATACGTGTATTGTAATACAATATGCTATAAAACAGTAATAGAACGATGAAAAGGAAGAAGGTGAACCTTTTTTTTTTTTGCAATGTACCAAATTATTATCACAATTTGGAGAGACAACCAAGAGTAAAACCTTTGTTTCTTATGACTCAACCTTGTAAATTCACAAATTTAGTAAAATAAGAAAAATAAAAGAACATAACAGCAGCAAGCTATGCTAGTATATCGATGTATGTATAAGATTGAATCAACTCTGTTGTGATCAGTCACTCCACCTGGATACCACTTATCTCAAGGGTGTCCAGTTTCTTGGGTCTTCTATAGTTCTTTAACAAAAGAGAGCAGCATACAACACTAACTGAGGAGGCTGCCATTGCAGCCCCAGCAATCCATGGTGGTAGCCGAAATCCGGTAGAAGGGAAAAGGGCACCAGCAGCAATTGGGATGCCAAGTAGATTATAACCTAATGCCCATATGTAGTTCAGCCGAATGCGAGAGAATGTTTTTCTGGAGAGATCAATGGCAGTTATCACATCCTCCAAGTTGCTCTTCATGAGAACAATGTCAGCAGCTTCAATGGCAATGTCTGTGCCAGCACCAATTGCCATTCCCACATCAGCAGCCACTAGTGCCGGTGAGTCATTTATGCCATCTCCAACCATAGCCACTGTTAATCCCATACTCTGCAGGATAAAAAAAAATAGTTAGGCAATCATCAACAACAAAAAACAGGGTTGGTTCACATGGAGATCACTAATCGTCTTAAATGCTTAGAGCAAATAAAAGCCTAAACAATAACTAGAAATTTTGATCAAGTCAAAACAAGTGATCATCACTGGATCTCAGCTACAAAATTTAAAACTTTAATACATGCATAGAGATATGTATAAAGCTTATGTGAGCAGATGCATGTCAGAACGCATTTAACAGAAACATGTATTTTAGTGTACATGTATAATATGTACCCATATTTATGTACAGACAGCAGAAATGTTACCTACAAGTATATTAACAAGTGTATTCAAATCGAATATTTTACCTGTAACTCCTTCACTTTTTCTGCTTTCTGTTCAGGTTTGGCTTCTGCAATAACAGTTTCAATTCCAACCTCTTTGGCAATGGAATTTGCAGTGCCCCAATTGTCACCTGTCACCATAATGCTCCTGACATTCATGGACTTGAGAATAGATATGGCATCCCGAGCACCTGGTTTCAGTGGATCAGATATGGCTATCAGTCCCACAACCTCCCTATTTATGGATACTAAGATTCCAGTTTGTGCCATCTCTTCCATTTCTACTAGGACTTCTTCAGCATCAACTGGGACAAATATGTGAGATTCCAACATCAGGCTCTTGTTCCCCACTATTATTTCCTTGCTTTGGACAGTTGCCTTCACACCATGGCCTGTGATGGAGACAAAATCCTCTGCTTCTGGCCAGACATGGTTCTCTTCATCTTCTCCAAATTTCTTGGCATACTCAACAATGGCCTTTGCTAGTGGATGTTCACTGTTTACCTGAATAATATGTACAGCATGCCAATATTATCATAAGACATACTTCTTGCATTTAACATAAAAAGGAGTAAAAATTAATATAAGCAAATATGGTGGTTTGGTAATAGACTGTCAGAAACCCAACTAGTTAACATGAATCCTCCAAATAAAAAGCATCAACTGAATGATTAATATTGCAGGGAAAAAAACTACAGCGATGGGGTTTTAATCTGACAGGTATAAAGGTCCCCCATGGTGAGAATGACCCGAGAAAAAGAAGCAATTTACAGCCATTATTCAAGTAAAAACTAGGAAGTTTTCCAATAAATTTCCTATATTCAGATTTTCCTGAAGTATATTTTCTCCTCAGGCAACATTTGTTTCCATAAGAGGTGGCAGGAAAAAAAAATACTGTGGTAAAAGGGGAGAAAATACAACTGAAACATTTCAGTTTGAAAAGCTTCCAATCCTCTTTGGTGAAACAAAAAGAGCATTACAATAAAGGATAAAATTCCAAGTTCAATTCTAAAAGACAATCATCCCAATTGTAAGTGAATAAATTGAATTTTCTAGCCTTCCTTAACATGGCCTTGTGGCTCCTCAAGACATCAACAAAGATATGATATGATAAAAATAAATTGTCATAGATAACAGATGAAACAAGTAAGAAAGAAAGGCCTACCTCAGTTGCAGCAACCAATTCATAGAACTCACGAAGTACCATGTTTTTCAAGAGCCTTGTGCTTACAACTACTGGCTTTCCAATGGTCAGTGTCCCAGTCTTGTCAAAGACGATGCAATCCACCTACAAAGAAAGGTAAATTTTTAAATAATTCTATAAATTAATTAAGTTGGAGCATGAAAAAAAAAAGAAAAAAAATATATTTGAAAAAGAAAATGAGCATAAATGGCATGAAATGACAGAAAAAGATGAGTGAAATGGAAAAACATTAGTTGATCCACATTAACTTGCTCAAAATTAGATTGAATATCAGCAATGTGCTGATTCTAATTGGCAATTTATCCAAGCAATCTAGGTGGTCACTAAAATGGTATGAAAGAAATGAAAATGGTTTAAGAAAAACTATAAATAAGAATTGTAATGACTATTATTGCTTGAATCAATCTTCAAATAGTTTGGAGGAAGATTGGGCATTTGATATCTGCAATTAGATTTAAACTGAATTAATATGAAGTTTTGAAAAAGTGTTGAAATAATTAACCTCTAAGCGTTTAATCAGCACAATTAACCTCTAAGTTCAAGCAACTACTCCAAAAATGTAAGTAAATAAGGAAAATCTATAATTCTGGAAAGACATGATACTGGAAAGGATTTGACTAATCACAACCCCTGTGAATTTTGATAAAAACCCATCTGATTGGTTACCACTTTTATGATGCTGGTTAATTGGTTGTAAATTTTTCTGGTATCATGTCTTTCTGGCATCATAGTCGAACCCAAGTAAAAGAGAGAAAATCTATGCAAATCTTTCATACTGACCTTATGTGCATTTTCCAATGCTTGCCCTCCTTTGATTAGTACACCTTGGGAAGCACCGACCCCAGTACCAACCATCACCGCTGTTGGAGTTGCCAGACCTAGAGCACATGGGCAAGCTATGACCATAACAGAGATGCCAAATTGAAAAGCAAGCTCAAAGCTGTCCATTGAAGATGGTATCCAAGACTTTGGATAGGCATTGAATTTTCCAGCTAAAAACCAGGCAAGCCAAGTTCCAAATGCAAGAACAATAACCTACAAGGATTCAAAGCAAACAGGTAAAGATTTTGAAAACCAAATGGCAATTGTTTGGTCATTTCTAGATATGCCTGAATAGATATTGATTTGTTTCGTCAAGGGAGTGGGGGAGGAGGGGAATTCTACATGGTAGAGTCACAAAATTTATTGATTTGTTGAAAAAACAAAGCATGCAATACTCTACCAAGTATATTATTTTAGCTGCTCAAAGTTTCCAAAGTCAATTCAATTAAATTTCGGTACTGTCAGGCTGTCAGCAGGACTTTGGGCACTGTGTTAGATTATTATCCACCACTAGTTAATCCTTTTACAGCTCATGTATGAAGACTTAAAGAATTACCCATTCTTTTGTGAAGAAATATGAGTAGTAAGATTTAGTTATTGGCGTCTTATGTTCTTTAAAGAACTATAATATAGTGACTTTTTTCCAAATATATATACATATATATATATATATATTTCTTTGGTGGAGAAGGGTTGGGCAAATTAGGTTATGGCTGAAGGCCAGGTTTTGGGCATCAAAGGCCAAAAGCTTTACCAAGCAAGTTAGCATCTTCCAAAAAATTGTTTCAGCCATATTGTAAGAGCCCCTTTCTTTTCCACTCTCTACTACCAGAACGTACAAACTTCACAAACTTGGGAAGCAAGAGAAATCAATAACAAAATAATGATTGTTAATGTTTCGTGAGAAACAAGAAACAGATTTCCTTGCAAAGATGGGACAATCAGTCCCAAGATAAACTAATCTACTGTATCTGATGACAGAAGTATCATGTAATGATTAAATATCCTCAGACTAAGAAATAAGAAAGCAATCACCCTCCCCACCCACAAGTAGCCAAGCACTTCAACTAATTTATAATTAAGACACTAATGATTTTGAAAACTACTAAACCTTGTGTTAAAAATGTCCACTTTTACATGGCAGTTAGGAAAACTTACCAAGGGAACAAAGTATTTTGAGATACGATCAGCAAACTTCTGCACAGGAGCTTTGGCCATTTGTGCTGATTCAACAAGGCGAACAATCTGTGAAAGAGCACTCTCAGACCCAACTCGTGTTACCTGAATATGTAATACCCCATTTTCATTAACAGTTCCTCCAATCACTGCATCACCCTTCCTCTTTGCCACTGGGCGGGCTTCTCCTGTTATCATGCTCTCATTGACATGGCTTTGACCCCATATGACAAAACCATCAGAAGCAACTTTTGCACCAGGAATTATCTTAATTATGTCATTCTTTTGTATCAACCGACTATCAATTTCTTTCTCACTTACCACATTTCCATGGCCATCAATAGTTAACAGTGTTGCCGTCTCAGGTGCCAAGTTCATAAGCTTGGCAATAGCCTCAGATGTCTTCCCCTTGGCCAAGACCTCCAAATATTTTCCAAGCAAAATAAATGAGATGAGCATCGAGCTGGTCTCGAAGAAATCCACACCATTGAAATCCATTGATGTTGCAGCTCTCAATACTGTGTAGACAGAATAAAAGTATGCTGCATTTGTTCCCAAAGCAATCAAGACATCCATGTTTGCAGAGCCATTTCTCAATGCCTTATAGGACCCGATATAAAATCTTCGGCCGATGATGAATTGTACTGGGGTGGATAATACCCATCTCAAAAGCTCCCCTTTAGTCAACATTTTGACTACTTTAGAATCTAATCCCTGTTTAATACCAGGGATATACATGAACACCATGGAAGTAAGGAAAACTGGGATGGTAAAAATTAAACTCCAAAGAAAGGATTTATAGTACTGCTTAATTTCCTCCTGTCTGTGAGATCCATGTTGCCCTTCTTCAGGGAAGATCATGGCCTTGAAGCGCCCTGATCCAGTTGACTCTATCACTTGGATGAAGTTTCTAGGACCCGTTTCATCTGGCTTGTAAGAAAGAGACACTTTATTCAGCAAGGGATCATATTCTATATCTTGAACTCCTGGGAGGGCCTGGAGAGATTCTTCAATTATCCTCATTGAATAATTAGTGCGGACTCCATCTACTTTGAGCTGTATCTTGCTCTTGTCTTCCCCGGTGCTAATAAGTATAGCTTCAAAACCAGCATCCTCAATTGCTTCCAGTAACTGGTTGTGGCTGACTATCTTTGAATCATAACGTATTTCTGCTTCTTCAGTTGCTAGTGCAACTTGAGCATTTTGTACACCATTAATACCTTGCAAAGCAGATTCAACAGCTCTTGAGCAAGAGGTGCAAGTCATTCCTTTTATGTGAAATCGGCATGTTTGCACAGATTTGTTATCTACATCATCCTTAATTAATGCAGCTTCAAATCCAGCATCTTCAATGGCCTCTCGAATTGTCTCCTCCTGCACACATGCATATATACACACACGGTGTTACATAACAGGAGTGAGCTTTGGTTTTGACTGGTTCAAAAAAATGTAAAACAAATAATGCCATCAAATGAAAACATGTGGTCAGTACAAGACATGAACATAAAAGTGATATAGAACCAAGGGAGAAAAAAAAAATATAGAATGCTAATCTCAAATAATGAAAAGAAGAAATTCATTACATTGCTAACCCACGTGAATGATTGTAAAGGAATGCAGAAAGCATTTCTAATCTTCACTCTAATTGTTAATGATTAATAGTAGACAACAACTAATTCACTTCACAAACTGAGTATGATGCTGTTAAAGAATGCAAACACTATTCCAAGTCTTGATTGTAGTAACAGTAAGTCTTTAAAAACTAACAATTAAGGTAGATGCTAACTTTACTTAACTGGATATAAGATCACGAGTGAGTCACTCTTATCCACCTTTGTAGAAAGATTAGTTCAAAATATCAGTATAAGCAACAATCAGGGTCAGAAAAAGGGTTACTAATAGCAGTAGTAGGAGAGCAGAGCAGAACTAGAAGCAGATATAAAAGTGTCATCAATAATAGTTATATTATAAGGTCATTTACTTAGACATCCCCTATAGTTTGACGTATTTACTAAAACCTACCTTATAGTTTGTGTATTACTAAAAAACCCCTATAGTTTGCAACTACTTTACTTGATCTTCTGTGAGGAACTATCTGTATTTTCATTTGGAAATGGTCATGTAACCTCTTAAAATGAGTAGAAAATGTGAAAGAGCATGGTCCAGGGCTTTTTTTATTCTGAAAATACCCCTAGCAGCTCTCATATCAACCTTTTAGAACCAAAACCTGGGGGCAAAATCAAAATTGTCTTTTTTTTTATTAATTTGGTCGAACAGCCACCTATCCAGTTGCTACTAGTATCAACAAAGATAACATCTTATCCTGGCTAAGAATTCTGGACGATGGCGCAAAGGTTATGACTGTTCACTGTTGTACAAAATCATCACTTTCTACGGGACAAAGTCCTTTTGCCAACCAATTTATCTAAATATCTCTTCGCCTTCTAATAATCTGTATCTAATTTAAATTACACGAGGCAAGATCTCCTAACCACTTAATCATTAACAGGTTCCAGTTCCAGACCCTAATATCAAACCATAGAATTTGATTAAGCACAAGAAATGGATGGAGTGACATCATTTCCAAATAAAGGAACATTTTTCAAAATAGGCGTTTCTATAAATGCAATGAAATCTAAAAATTTCCTTATTTGGAAATTAGATTAAACAGAACAAATACAGGATCAACATGGTAGCAAATAAAAGCCAGATCGAAAAAGAGATCCTCGGAGGTAGAGGCCGACTTACATTAACGAAATTCGGGAAAAAGAGAACCTGGGCTTTGTTGTTGAGAACATCAACCGCAGCATCTCGAATACCAGGAAGCCGTTTGATGGCTTTCTCGACAGAACCAGCGCAAGCGGAGCAAGTCATTCCCAATACCGAGAACAAAGCCTTCGCCTCTGATCCTTCCATGTTCTCCTGAACAGGAACGCCCTTGGGGTACTTGGGCATCGAAGGATAATGCGGCGCCGGCGACAAATCTCGACAGCTCTCATTCCGAATGCAAGCTAACGCGAAAAGCTTGCTCGCCATGATGACTTCTCCCTCCTCCTCCTCAACTAATCTTTGCTTCCAAGCTTTTCTTCTGCTCTCCCCGACTGCCCGACTCCTCCCCTCTCGCTTCCCTCTTAAACTCTGGTTGCGACGTTGCGTTCGTAAAAAACATAAGTAATTCACGAATGGACAGTTGTATTTGAATTAGTAAAGTTTTTATAGACGCCCCAGCGCCTGGGCTTCGCCCACGAAGATAGCTGACGTGCACCTACAGCGGTCACTTCTCTGGGTACGTTAACTTTTCCATTGGCTGAATAGTTGCCTCCATTTCCACGTCAGCGATCTGCGGGTCCCTCTAATACATTGACTTCACTTCCACTATTCGAGATTATTATTAATTAAAAAATTAAGAAAAATTGACGATCAGTACCCTATATTTTGACTGTTGTTATAATTTGGTCTCAAAATTTTAAAATGATTTAATTTCACCCTATGTCAATGCATAAAAAGACACAAATACCCATTTCATTTTCAATAACTAAGTTTCAGTCATTTTCTTAATGACAAAAATGGCCTCTACCCTCTACTATGATAACCTTTCTCCACGAGTGGGAACCATTGTTCACTACTCTAACAAAGACCACAGTTCTCCCCCCCCAGTGTTAATAATCGGAATACGCTATTAGAAAAGCTCAAATCAAGGGGAAAACAATGTCAAAGAGCATAATACAATGATTTAATTTCACCATTTTATTGGAAAAATATCATTGGAACATAAAGCATTTGCCACCATTAAAAGTGTTTTCAATCCCACCGTCATCCAAGAAGAAAACACTAGTTGCTTGTGCTGAAGAAGATAAATAAGGTCTTTTTTTTTTTTCTTGTTGAACTACGAAAATTCAAGAGAACCCATGATTGACCTAGATTTATATCGTGAACTGCGAAATGCACAATTAAGAAAATTGACCCAAGTAATCTCTCACCTGAAACTAACCAAATTGGAGATCATCATGCAATTGATAAATAAAAAATAAAATAAAAAAACAAATAGCCGATCATAAAATTATATCATTTTTTTATCAATTAAATTCAATATGAAGCTTTTATCGTGAACACTAAGGCCCCGTTCGCTTTTCGGTAAGTTACTTATTCAAGTAAATGCAATTACTTGGGAAACGCTTGCCTGGGTAAGTACATTTACTCATGTTCTTTTATTTATCATGTATACCCATTTAGGAGATGGGCCTAGGAAAATAAACTTTCCCTGATCCCCACATAATTCTGAAAAAAGAATATGGGATTCTTGGTCAATAGAAACCAAAATCCTATTGACCAACTTTCCCCTTCTCAAAATCCGAAAAAAGAATACCCCCCTAAAGGAAAAGCACCTAAGCAAGATTCCATACCTTCAATCCCAAAATGAAAAATTCCCAAACTGAACCAGTAAACATAGTTGTTAAGAGGGGTTAGATCATAGGTATTTAGCAAGATTTGGCTCCCATAATTCCTGTCATTGCCTTCTGGAGCAATCGAGTTCCACTTATTCGCAATTCCACCCATAACGAAGGTAACAAACCAAACAGAGCTTCCATGGCAGGGAAAACGAAATTTTATTTATGGAGGAAATAAAAGTGTTCAAAGCAACACCAGTATCGTCTGTTTCTCTTTCTTCTTCCCTTGTATGGGAATTTTTACCTTTGTCTTTCCTTAACCTAGTTTCAAAAGAAAGGGACAGAATGGAATACCTTCTTACCACCTGTGCATGCTCAGAATGAAGAATGGTTGGTCAAGCCATCTCTCCTCTGTTATTCCTAGATTGAAGAGAAAGGGGAATAGGATAAAAAAAAATGAGTAAAATGGTCCGAATATTATGATAAAGGTTAATTTTGACATTATTAAATTGCACCTGATATCACATAATGGCCTTAATTGACAGTAAATTAACGCTGGATACTGAATTATTATAAATTAAAAGTTTGAGTACTAAATTATTACATTTTAAAATTAAGGGATCAAATTGTCATTCGAGTCAAAGTGAAAGGTAGTAATCGAAAATTTTCAAAAACAAAAAAAAAATCTCAATATCAAGGGCTTTTCCGGGTGCTCGTGGGCCAGTTCGCCGAAATTTGCCAGCGGCAACATGATCCAGCCACTGGGTCAACGGGCTTGCCCCTTGCCGCGTGTGGAGCGAGTAGTTTCTCGATTTATCTCCGCGTTGACATTAATAACAAAATGTGGAGCCCACTATCCGTTTGATTAGGATGTTGTGTCCTCCACCAACCTAGCAGTCCGAGCCCATATGAAAAGTAGGATCAAATGGACTATGAAACAAGGTAGGTCCATAATCTGAGGACAAAGGCAGCAGTCCTCTCGTCAATAACCGGCGACACACTACCCACTGAATTTGACTCCTATACCATACCATGTTCTCTCTTCAACAATCAGCCATCAAACAAGTGGACCATTTCCTTGACAAAAGACTCGGATTATCATACTCTGAGTGATACAGAGTCAACTTTATAATACATAAAATAATTAATAATATTATTCTTTGATAAACCAACTTGGTTCCTTGGTATATGGCTTATTGACCCTTAAAGTTTATAGTCAACATAAAGTTTATACATATGAAGTGGTATATATTTATACTCTCTCTCTCTCCTTTTTTTTTTGGCTTCTCAAAGTTTTGTGATTTTTTTGAAGGATAAACCTATCAAGTAAGAAAGCATGATATCGGACAAGATTTGACCAATCACACCCACCCTCATTTAATAAATTTTGATGAATATCATTTCATTGATTATAATTGTATTTTCATTTTGGAAAAAGTATTTCTGCAGTTCACTGCAGAATTTTGAATTATAGCCTCTCATAGTCTATTACTAGCCTCCTATAAATCGCATCCTATCCACGGTCAAGATTCATCCCCTTATACGGTTGGGCAAAAGAATTATGAGCTAGGCTGATTAGTCATTCTTCCAATTTTTTTTCTCATATTATGCCTTTTCAATATCATAATCCAATTATTTTTTTCTGAATTATTATAGAAACAAAAAAAATCAAGCATAGGACTATTTAAATTGTGTTTAAATCTCCAATACTTAATTCAGATTGATGGTTTGATGTCTGAGTCAACGGGTTGACCAAATCAACAGTTTTTAACCAAAAAATGATTTTAGCATAAAACAGAACCATTTACCTAATCAATTCTCGAATCAACCGGTCTGGTTTTCAAAATTATGATTCTCTTACCTTTTGCTTCATAATCCTCTCATAATTTTGTAATTCTTTAGAGTTTGAAAATATATTAGTAAAAAAAAATCAAATATTAGGCTATCATTCAGAACCATGACTCCATTCATACAAAGGGTCTACGAGCTAGGGAAGACAAAGTATTCGACTATTTGTATTCTACAAAAAGAAAAAAAAAAAGACAATTATTCGTAGAATATAATAAACTCTCCCACTTACAATATGCATTTTCTTAGTCCAATAAACACCCATTTATAGTTTTCTTTAGAAAAATTGTAGTTGTTACTTGGACAGTATCACCAATAACCCTTCTCTTCCAATAAAAACGGAGATTAAAAAAATAAATGAAGACACCCTTATTAGTTTAAGCATTAATTGACAGAATCTTACCCACACACTTTATATATTTTTTAATTAAAGATATATAAATCTCAGTGTTTATCTTTGTATTAAGTTGACGTCGGAGGTGTTGATCCTTCTTTCTATTTGTTTTATAATCAATTTATCTTTTCTTCTCATCATCTTTAGACGTAGATATTTTATATCTTTTCCCCCAGTGATATGGTATTCTCGTACAGAAGAAAGGTGCCCATTATTCATTGAATCGATGAATCAAGACGAAATGACGTCTACATTGGGTTAAAGGCTTCAGTTGAAGATTGTTTTATATTTTGATCATGCATTAATTGTTAATTAATAATTGCTACAAAATGATGAGCAGATGGGGGATTCAGAATATTTTAATAATGTGGATTAATAGCATTTTGATGACAAGATGATGCATTAAAATTTTCTGACCAGTACCTTGTATTTTACGTCGAGTGTCAATTTGGTTCTCAAACTTTAAAATACAATAATTCAGTATTCAAACTTTCAAAGTGTGACAATCTATTACCTGCCGTTAACCAGTCTGTTAATAGGCTGTTAAGTGACATTTGAAAAGTAAAAAATGCCCTAAGAATGCTATCTAATTCTCTTTATCAATCATCTAAATATTGACAATAAAATGAATAGTCCCAAATTCTAGATTCTTTTAAACAGTCACCAACTTTTTTGAATAGAAGAGTTTAGGATTTGGGACTGTGTTTAGTTTTTTATCGATGTTTGGATGATTGATAAAGAGAATTATATGACATTAAGACATTTTTTATTTTTCAAACATCACTTAACCACTGATTAATGAACATTACATTTTGAAAGTTCAAGTACTGGATTGTCACATTTTGAAAGCTTAGGTACTGAATTATAACATTTTAAAGTTTGGAAACCAAATTGTCACTCGAGCCAAAACACAGGTATTGATCAAAAATTTTCCCTAATTTTAAATCAATAGTATTTTTTTATAATATTTTAAATCAATACTTGGAAATGTTCAAACAAAGTAAATACTAAGCATTGATAAGTCGTGTCACCTATGCATATTAACACTATGATTAAGACTTACAATAATTTAATTACTTGGATTACGTGCTAACTAATGCCTTGTACAACAAGTATGCCTGGAGGTATCACGCTGGCAATCAACCTGAAAAGTTAAATATTTACTTATCGGGATATTACTTAATTGATGAAGCTGAACAGTGATAATGCAATTTATACTTTCATGCACGTTGTACATAAACTTCTAAATTCTGATGCCAGGTGATGTTCACACCTGACATTGAATTATTGTCTTGATTGCTTGCCGGTTGCTGTTAACTTGGACTTTGGGCCTAAGCTATTAGCACGCTTGCTTTTATGATCTATTAGGCCCATTTACAAGTAAGCTATTGGGCCTTTCGACGATAGAATGCTGAGTTGTTGATCCCCATAAAGCTGTGTTTTACAAGTAAGCCGGCTTTGGCTTAGTCAGCAAGCAAACGGTATCCTTATCCATAGGAAATTGAATATGGGCCGGTAAATATGAGCGTTATGTTGACAATGGGGCCCATTACACCATGAAGCCCAACTCACGTTGGTAGGATTTGGGTTTTCGTCGTTAACCTTAACCATAAATTCTGACTTTTGAATTCATGAAGACGTGTTCCATAAGAAAGACCAAAAATTGGTTGCTATTGGAATAAATGATATGTCCTTATCAGAGAGTGGCCATTACCGCACAAGATGAAAGACTCACAATAAACTTTTAAGCCCATAAATACGTTTTAAAAAAATGGGTCCAGTTGGATAAAAGCCCAACCCATGTTGACTCAGTAATTGGGCCTAGTTGTGATCCATAAATAATTTGACTTTAGAACCCATCAAACTTGAGGTTTATAAGGAAGCCCAGCAAATTATAAAATAGGTGAAATATTATACTATAAAACTATATAATGGGGAGTCAATTCAAGTGATGCCGGTATTGTATGCAAATTTAGATTTGGACCCTTATATAAGGTCATTATAAAAATAAGAGATTGACTTTTATGCATAAAATGAGACAAACTATGCGATGTGGCCCCTCCTTGACTTGGGAACATCTGTAATTTTTGAATGCGTCTGAATTATATAGTTTGTGTCTGTTCTGGTCAGGGAGCTGTTATAGGTGCGACGTTACCCTCCTATATGTAATCAACCGATAGCATGATGTGGATTCAAGGTCAGAGTCGCCTCTAACGGCGGTCAAATATTTACAGCTAAGGTCAGTCTAGGCCTAACCCTAAAACTCAAACCTTGGGCTCAGGCCTGTTCCAATCTGAGGTCAGGATTCAATTAATCAAATTAGGCCCAATCTAAGCTAAATCTAATACAATTTGGGCCGGGTTTGTGTGTTCGTTGGGTTTGAACTTTGCAGGCAATTTTTTAACATGTTTTATTTATATATTCATCTTTTATCTTTTATTGAGCTTTATCATCCAATCTGATTGCAATGGATTGAATATATAAAATGCATAACATGTGGGTATTTTTATATGTTTGTGCACAATTAACACATTGCCCTTCCCATAACAATGTTTATCTTTCGTATATAATGCCTATCTTACCTTGGCCTCACGTCCAAACCATAATCTCACATCAACTAATAACAACATGGGCATCTACTGCTGATTACTGAATTTGCAGTTTCATCTCATATGAATTCCCTTGATGGCTATGCTGCTGAGACAAAATGACACTTTAACATGATATACAATATCCATTAGGCTCAGAGTGCAAATGCAAATATATAGTATAAATACATATAAAATACAAGGTTTTATATTCTACAAATTTGTATTTATACTCTTTCCAATACAAATTTATAGAATACAAAACCTTGTATTTTGTATTATCTTGTATGCATTTGCACTGTACATATTTGTATTTGTACTCCTTCCAAATTGAACCTTAAGGAAGTAACCAGACATATCATATTGCATGTTAACTTTACACTTCTAACTTAGTCTGGAGGCCTATCCATTCATGAAGAAAATTTGACACACACAATATTGCTACCTGTTAGACTAGCTTCCCAGCAACAGAAAAGTCACATCTCTCTGTAGCAATATCATTGTAACACCCAACTTTTAACATGATACCTGAGGGCAGAACACCACCGTTTTTTTTTTCCTCTGAAATGATGAATGCCATATAGCAAGAAGGGCAGTCTTGCCATTTCCATTTTCTGACATGGCCATTTTAGGAAGAAAAAAAATTAACTTCAGCTTCTCAAAAACGTAAAAGCCAATTGAGGAAGCAGTCCCAAACAATATAAACATATCACATATGTAGAGGAGCATATCATTTACCATGCAATCTTGGGATCAGGATGGATCATATTCAAGCTTGGGTCGGGTTGAGTTGGGCTGTCTAAGGCCTCAACCCAAGCCTAATCTCAAACCTAAGATATGTCAGCCTGATTTTTCTGGCTCAGACTTAGCCCAATAACTGGAAATTAATTAAGGTTCAAGTTGAGCTTGTCCAAGTTTTGACCTGGGTGCAGCTTAGACTTGTTCATGGGCCAGGGCCAGACTCAGGTTGAGCATTTGCCAAAATTTAAAGTGCCCCGACGGCCCAAAGCCCAAACCTGAAGCAGTGTAAAATGTTCATGGACCGAGCCAAAGCCTGGCCATGAACAGGTATAATTAGGGCTGTCAATGGGTCCAGTTCGGATTGGACCCGTCCGAACCATAACTTATTGGACCGATTTGGACGGTCCAAAGTATTACATCGGATTGGACTGGTCCAAAATTTGATTGTTCAGTAAAATAGTGGACCAAAACGGATATAGTTCAAATACCCAATGGTCCGTTCAATTGTCCACATCTTTTTCCCTTTCTCTCTCTTCAACAGCATATCCGGCAATGATTATACGTTCTCTCTTTCTCTCTCTCCCGTAGGCCGTAGTATATCAGGGAGAGCTTTAGAGGATCTCTTCTTTAACGGATGGCATATTATAGAGGCCTCTCTCTCCAACAGTATTACAGTGTTTTCAAACGATTTCAGCAACGATCTCTCTCCTTTTTAGGTGACTTCTGGCAATGATTCTAGCCTGAGGTATTCTCTCTCTCCCCAACAACGATCTCTCTCTTAGTTTTGTTATTTATTTATTTTTTTTAACAATTGAAAGAGAGCATGGATACAATAATAACAATTGAAAGAGAGCATGGCCGATTTGCGGATCTTGACACGTGGCATCGGTTGGACGCATCTTGGCTGTTCATCATCAACTACTATCAACCGCCACCAACTGCTCCTCTTCTAAGACAATTCTGACTGTAAAAGGGGCTCCCACATCGAGCTAAACACACATAGACTTAAGCTCTAAGTTTCCTCACTTGCATGGCCCGACCCCATACAGCCCTCGGCTAACTTGACCGTCGGAGTCTTCGCCCCTGGGGTGACTCCTGGGGCCTCTGACGTCTTCTTTCTCTCAACAGGTTGAACCCATCGGCCTCGGACACCAGAAATATAGTTGTTGCTCTCGGCTCCATATTTGGCAGCAATAATTGGTGCCATATATGAGAACCGTCTTCAAAACTTTCCCCTAAGAAAACAAATTCAACCTAATCAATTAGTGTTTCCGAAATGGCTGACAAGCAAGATACCATTCCTAATGTTCAAAGCTTAGTGACGATTGACCAGTTTGAGCTGGTCCTGGACAGGCTAAACAACCTGGCTAGCAGTTAGATGATATAGGGCGTTCGGCCAGAGGCCACCCATAGGGTGGCCACCCCATCAGAAGCCACAGACAACATGGCGGGCAATCCACCCATACCCCGCTAAGCCAGTGCTTGGGCAAGCCAAAGGGGGCCGATCCCTCGGAATCCGACTATAACAGTAGGCGGGTTAGCAAGCCCCGTTCTAAGACCCCTAGGCTCCCCAGCCGAGGGGGCGACCCTGTAGGGTCCCACTCGAGCACAAGAACCATGACTGTCAACACTGTCACACGGTGACCAGCTAGGATGACGGTGGGTGTTCGGGCCACTATAGTCCTCCTCTAGGTGCGGGAGGCCGGCGCCGCGCCTCTCCCTTGCCAGTTTCTGACCTTTGCGATCTCCTCAATGATCGTCGTGCCAGCAAGGCTCAAGACGTGCGGGTTTCCAAGCACTCCAAGAATAGGGCCGACCCGTCTCGTGTGAGAGAGAAACAAGACCATGCTGAAGCAATGATGCTATACATCGACCAACGCTTTGGAGATATTCAGGCACAGATTGGCGCCATTTAGGATCAACTTCGATAGGTAAAAGAGGGCCGAGGTGACGCCTCCACCAGTTGCCATGCCTCATTTAGCCGGATGGAGGCCTTCATGGATTCCATCACCTCCGAGCCCTTCCCACTGAATTTCAAGGCCACGACGCTAGAGACCTATGATGGGAGTACAGACCCTGAGGACCACTTGGAAAGCTTCTAGACCCTCATGCTCCTACACGATTACTTTGATGCCCTCATGTGTCAGGCCTTCCAAGCCACATTCAAGGGAGCAACATGCCGATGGTTCTTGACACTGCCTCCACACTCCATCGGCTCTTGGGACCAGTTCATAGACTTCTTCCTAGGTCACTTTGTGAGCAACCGACGGTGTTAGAAAATTGTCATATCCCTAATGTTTATCAAGCAGAAGCGTGGAGAAAGCCTTTGGCATATATGAAGAGGTTCAACGAGGAAGAACTCGAGGTCAAGGACCTCAACCCCTTACAGCCCTCGGCTAACTTGACCATTGGAGTCTTCACCCCTAGGGTAACTCCCGAGGCCTTTGATGCCTTCTTTGTCTCAGTAGGTTAGACCCATGGGCCTCAAACACTAGAAATACAGTTATTGCCCTCGGCTCCATATTTGGCAGCAATAGACCCTAACCTATGTCATCTATCCCCTTGACCCAATTTGTCTCATGACCTTCACCATGACTACAAGCTTCACCTGAGAATCCATCATGTGCTTGGATTGGAGAAAGCAAGTTCAGAGAGAAGAAGTTGACGACTGCTTGCTCAAAACTAACATGCACCGAATGATCTCTATCATTGTGGAATTGATTTTCTTTTTATATTTATATTTTATATTTTGATACATTTTTATATTTTGTGAAATTTTTAATCAATGTTTTAAAAACCAATCCACAACTGGAATCGCTTTGGCCACCTGTTTTTGGGTTAGTAGTTTGATTGTTTGATTCAAATGGATGACCCACTCCAATTTAAAAATAAAAAAATGACCAAAAATGGTTGTTGGTTCAACCGCCCAGCTCAATGGATCGTTGACCAAGTCAACGCTTTTTGGCCAAGATACGGGTTAAGGGTGAAAGGGAACAGATTGTCTTGATGGTTTTCGGGTTGAATGGTCTAACTGTCCGAATCAGTGATGGTTCAAAAACCATGTTTATAATATATTTCTATAAATTTTTATATTTTTTATATAATTTTTTATGTTTCATTCAATTTGGATCGGATTGGACCCAACCTAGTCCATTTGCATTTTAATTGGACTGGTTTGGATCTAGTTTGTATGGGTTTTGGACTGGATTGGATTTGATGCACTTGTAAATAGACTCCTATTAGATTGGACTGGATTGGATTCAGTGAATTTGTAAATGGAGCCCTGGTAGATTGGATTGGATTGGACTAAATCTATTCCAGTTGACACCCTTACTTATTAATGAGTTTTTTGTTAGTAAGGATGAACTGGACTTGGGTTGGACCCAATCCCGTTCATTTACATTTTACTTGGATTGGATTGGATTTGCAGCAAGTGTTGTAGTTTTTTATATATTTTTTTAGATTTTTCATGTTATTTTGGTGTTTGGTCCCATTTGGATTGAATTGGACCCAATCCGGTCTATTTGTAGGATTAAATTGCAGCAAATGTTGTAGGTATTTTATATATTTTTCTAGATTTCTCATGTTATTTTGGTATTTGATTCAATTTTAATTAGATTGGACTTAATCCGGTTTGTTTGCATTTTATTTGTATCGGATTGGACTTGGTTTGTATGGATTTGGACTGAATTTGATCCAATCCATTTATAAATGGACCAATATTGGATTGGAATGGATTAATCCAATTGACAGCCCTAGGTGCACTTGAAAGCTTCATGTGTATATCTGACTTCGCCATGATCAATTGAAGCCAGGCATAAGTATGGTTTTTGATTTATTCTAATTAAAATTTTAAATACCAGAATTTTAACTACTCACACTTAGGCTGGTGGTTGCAGTGCAATTTCATTTGCACTAGTACAAATGTAAAAAATGCAAGTTTGTGTTCAAATTTGTTTTGGATTTTATTTTTATTCTGCTTCATATCTTAATTTACTTTATTTATACCACAATCAAATAAAATAAGCTAAAATTTGAAACAAAAATAGGTCAGAATTTACACTCAAATTATTTGCACTGCCATGATTTTACATCAATGCAAATTTATTTACACTACAACAAACACAGCTTTAATTCTTTGTTAATTATAAAATACCCTCGGGCTGTAAAGAGATACATACCTGCAAGAGCTACCATATCTGTGACTGAGATGCCTTGATAAAGGAACTTTGATATGAGAGTGAGAAGACCCTGATAAGGAGTAGGCAGATTCGTGGTTGCTAGGCTGAAGCTTGAAGTTCTGCAATCCTTTATACCCAGAGGAACATGCCAATAAGACCCGCCCACCTATAAGAGAAGTGCAACAATTAATTAATCCTTAATTTCTATGTATAGTAAGACAAACATTAGTAGTACGTAGTAGTCCTTAATTTTACCAGAATGACTAAATCCCTTGCTGCAATGGTGAGTCTTACCGCGGTGCCACACTGCCACCAACACAACAGCGGCCGCTAGCTTGCTATCTGCGACGTGAAGAGCGTTAATTTCCGGATATTACTTAGCCAGAATCTCGCATGAATACAGAGGTAGAGGCAGAGGAGGAAGACGAGCAACGGTGCCTACTGCCCTTTCTTTTTATATTTTTACAAAAAAGCTATCATATTTTAGTTATTATATAAAAATATTATTTTTTATTGATATTAAGGACAAAAAATTACCCTCATCTGCTACACACCTTTAAGCCATAAATAAATCTCAAAGCTATCATTTTTCTTAAAATAGAAGCAACAAAAAGCGTGAATGATCAAAGGAATCTTGAACATGACAATTTGGTTGCTTAGTGAAGCCGTGAAGGAACCAATTTGATTTTAGCAAAATCGATAACATAAGATGATATTCGAAACATTTCTTCTTTTGTTATGGGTTTAGATAGAGTTGGCACAATAAAGCTGCACCTTTAAGACAATTGTAGTGCTTTCAATAACAGCGCCACTTGAATTTGTTGGATTAATGTAAAATCATCTCCTAGTTGGCTAGTTGAAATCGCCTATAGGCATCATATTTTATTCAATCAAGAAATTGATACAAAAAAATTGACAAGGCCAATTAAAAAACACATAAACAATTTCTCAAGAGAACAAAATATAACAATAGATGAAGGAGATTCAAAAGATCTTTTGCAATTGAGAAACGGTAAGGTCAAATCACCAACAGAAGTAAACAAGTACATCTCCAATCCACTACAGACAACGAACGAAACTGATAGAGGAGGATTCCAAAAGACTGACATCGCCAGAGAACAGCAAATGGATCTTACCATGAACAACATCAACTGGAGAACTGCAAACGGGATTCACCATGAACAACAACTGCCAGAGAACTGCGTGCAAACAGAGGAGGAAAAGTCATCTTTGTTGACGAACAATGAACTTGAACGAGAACCACGAACAAAGAAACAAAACTTTGAAAAACTCAAGAGAAAACCTCGAGAAAACTCCAGAGAAAGGCTCTCTCAAAATAAAGAGAGAGGGAGGAGGGAGAGAAAACTAAAAAGAGGAAGGGGAAGGAGAAACCAGATCGGCGGCTCCCTTTAGGGAATCCTGAAGAGAGCCGCTTTTGAGAGCGCCTCTAACAAAAAACCCTAGAGAGAAACCCAATTTAATCCCCTAGTTGGCAAGTTGCACTAGTGGGAGTGATGGAAGTATATTTATTTTAGGGCTCCACTTGGTCTAGTAAAATAATTAAATTCATGGATTAAAGTGTTGTTCTTGTGTTGGGATTTAAGGAAGACCACAAGAATGAGAATACTGACTTGATGTCAAAGGGAATAGTGATGGTGCGCCATACGCCTATAGCGTTGCTCTGTGTTGCAACTGTAGCCTTTAGAAATTGGAATAATATCTATACTATTTATAAAAGTATGAATAGAGTATTATTTTATGGAATATTTAGTCTACATAATTTATCCCTTGATCTTAAGCTCTTTTAGGTTTTGTTTGCTAAGAGTACAAATACAAATATGTAGAGAGAAAAACCTTATTTTATATGTATTTGCATTGTACGTATTTGCATGTGTACTCATTCCAAATTGAACCTTAACAAAAAAGCTTTAGTTGAGACTTTCATAATAAACGTAACACACGCAACATCATCTTTCCCATTCCACACAAAAAAATGTTCCTCCACAAATACATTCAGGATTATAAAAAACTCCCCACATTCCAAAAACATAAAGCAATAATATTTATGAACAGAAAAATTAAAACTACACATGAGTCATATCCAATGGCTCATGGTTGGAACAGGGCCCACTGTGACTATAAATAGAAGTGATGGGATCTGCTGTGAGCACAAATGTGCAAACCTAACCCAGTAATCAATCACAAGTGAACATGCCAATGTATGCCCCATGTGTATGAAATACTAGCATATTCATTCTTCATAGGATACTCAGCCAGGTTCACACATTTGTGCTCATAGTACATCTAGAGCCACTTTTGAATTTTGTCTTGTATTTAATTGTAAGGGTGTAAACTAAACTACTGCTTCCCCTTCCTATTATTGAGTCTTGTATCTGAGGTGTTAACTCCCTTTCTCTTTTATTAAATCCTATATTAAAGTATTTTCATTTCTAACTAATAAAATTTATATCCAATCCTTTTAACAACAGAAAACCTATATTTTTAAAAGCAACTTGAAATTGACAACGTTCTTTCATTTGCCTAGCATGTTAGTTTAATCATTTCAGGTCAAATGGGTTAACCTATGATGTCATATTTAAATCATATAAATTTAAAAATAGATAGAAATATAAAATATAGAAATTTTGTAAAAAATTGCACACATTTTTAATATTATAATTCATCGTATTAAACAAAAAATAAACATGATAAATATGAAATATTTGTATGAATGATGAAAATGAAATACAAAATTTAAAACCAATTTAGAAATGAAAATGCCTTATCGTTTGGATGGTGGGTCAATGGTTTAACCTTTTAGGTCAAACGGGGCAACCAATGACATCATAAATTTAAATGATAGTAATAAAAATCTGTAAAGATAGAAAGACAAAAAAATTAAATATGCAAAAAATGTATAGAAAACATTTGGCCATATATGTAATATTATATATCGGTAATATAAATAAAAATAAGGTGGTAAATAGGAGTTCTTTTTATTAATGATAGAAATGGAATACAAAATTAAAACTAACTTAAGAACAAAATTGTGTTTCCATCTAGGTGCTAGGTTAATGGTCTAAGTGTTTGGGTAAAATGGATCAACCAATGGAGTTATAATTAATAATAATAATTAAAAAATTATAAAAAGAAAAAAAGAAAGTTTAAAGCCACCCAAAAATGAAGTCCTTTTTTTTCTAGTCACGTGGACCAACTCATTATATATTATCATATTTACACAAAAATAATTATGATAAATAAGAAATATTTTTATTGATTATGGAAACAAAGCAAATGGAGTATAAAATTTAAATCTTCCAATAGACCATGCCTTGATTACTTATCTTTCTTCATAATAATAATAATAATAATAATAATAATAATAATAATAATAATAATAATAATAATAATAATAATAATAATAATAATAATAATATTATTATTAT